GGCTGGAAAGGGAGAATGGATAATTTGCATTTTAAAAAAGCTTCCTGGAAAGTATGTGAGACCTAAGCCACTGTGATTCAGCCCTTGGTGCTGTGGCTTGTTTTTACAAGTGGATGAAGAATTGGCCTGGCTTGTAGGGCAGGTGGTCCAGAAGCTTGCTGCAGAGTCTCGAACCTCTTTCCAGAAATATTCGTTGAAATTCTACATTTAACCACTTCCCAAGTGAATGCTGCGCATATTGCTCCTCAAAGTGCAGTCAGCTCCATTAACAGATAGGACAAAATGTGATATATAGGCGGCCGCTGCGGGAGAGAGAGGAGCCAGAGATGCCCCCATCCCTCTGCTGGCTCAGCCGCCGTCCTGCACCAAGCAGCCGCGTGCTGGGGCAGCCGGCCCGCCGAGGCCCAGTGGGCCGCACTCGCAGACAGGAGTGCCTCCCGCGCTGTCCGCTCTTGTTCCTCGGCCGCGAGGCCCGAGGCCAGTCCGGGAAGGGGGCGAGGGCGGCGCGCAGGCGCCCGCCGCCTGAAAGGCAGGATGAGCAACGGTCCTGACGGAGCAGCTGCAGGGTTTCGCTGTGGTGGTGCTGAGGCATCAGATGGTGGACCTGCTGGAGTTCGCCAGCCAAGCACTTCACGCTCCTGCAGCAGCAGAACCAGCGCAAAGGCTCCGCATGCTGCTGCGGCCATGAGGGCCGGACCTGCGGGGACGTGGGCGCCGCTTGCTGCCACCCTCTCCCTCCCCTGCCGCAAGGGTATCAACTTCGCTGCCGAGGAGCTCTTGCACACCGACTCCGAGAACCAGGAGCAAGAAGAGGAGGAGGGGGCAGCAGATAGAGGGGTGTTCAACGCTCTAGTAATAAACCGATTCACAAGGCGTGCCTCAGTATGGGTAGAAGTTTATAATCCTGATGAAGAAGATGATAAAGAGTCCAGGGTTATCCATCCAAAAACTGATGATCAAAAGAATAGATTGCAAGGCGTTTGCAAAGACATCCTGCTGTTTAAGAACCTGGATCCGGAGCAAGTATCTCAAGTATTAGATGTCATGTTTGAAAACCTAGTCAAAGAAGGGGAACATGTAATTGATCAAGGTGATGATGGTGACAACTTTTATGTAATCCATAGAGGAACAATGATATTTATGGAAAATGTGATGGTGTTGGAAAAATGTGTTGCTAACTATGATAATCGTGGGAGTTTTGGCAAACTGGCCTTAATGTACAATTACATCCAGAGCAGCTGCAATCACTGCTGCCTGTCTTGGTGCTTTGTGGGGTTTGGACAGGATTTTACAATTACTCTTCAGGAGAATAATTGTAAAAACTAATGCCAAAAAGAGAAAAAAATGTATGAAAGTTTTATTGAGTCACTGCCATTCCTTAAATCTTTGGAAGTTTCTGAACACCTAAACATGGTATATGTGATAGACACCAAAATATACAACGATGGAGAGTAAATCATTGCTCAGGGAGATTTGGCTGATTCTTTTTTCATTGTAGACACTGGAGAAGTAAAATTACTATGAAAAATAAGCCATGGATGTGCAAGCATTTGAAAGGATTTTAGGACCTTCCATGGAAATTATGAAAAGGAACATCACCATCGATGAATTACAGTTAGTTGCCCTGTTAACAAATATGTTTATTGTTGAACCCACTTCATGAAGTGTATGGAGCAAGAAGACCTATAGTAACAAAATTACACAGTAGTGGTTTGTTTACTGAGAATGTGTTTGTATAGATGCCAAACATTTTCTGTGATTCCCATATTTTTCCTTTTTTTTTTACATTTACAATGTTATCAGTAAACAATAGTGATTTAATAGCCAATATGCTTTAACATCACTTTCTAAAGAGTAGATCATAAAAATACTGACATACTGAAAAAACTTTTCTTTTCGGGGGGTTTAGCTATTTATTTTTTAAGTATATTTTATTGATTATGCTATTACAGTTGTGCTACTTTTTCCCCATTTGCCCCCCTCCAGTACCCCTCTGCCCTCCAGCAACCACCCCCACTTAGTTCATGTCTATGGATCATGCATGTAAGTTCCTTGGCTTCTCCATTTCCTATACTATCCTTAACGCCCCCTGCCTATTTTGTTCTTACCGATTATGCTTCTTAATCCCTGCACCATTTCCCCCATTCTCCCCCTTCCCCCTCCCACCTGATAACCCTCCCAATGATCTCGATCTGCATGATTCTGTTCCTATTCTGGTTGTTTGCTTAGGGGTTTTTTTTTATTGCTTGTTTTTGGGGTTTTTTTTTAAAGACTCAGTTGTTGATAGTTGTGAATTTGTTGCCTTTTTAATGTTCATGCTTTTGATCTTCTTTTTCTTAAATCAGCCCCTTTAACATTTCATGTAATATAGCTCTTTTAGCTTTACCTTGTGTGGAAAGCACTTTAACTGCCCTTCCATTCTAAATGATAGCTTTGCTGGAGAGAGTATTCTAGGTTGTAGGTCCTTGCTTTTCGTCATTTTGAATACTTCTTGCCTGCAAAGTTTCTTTTGAGAAATCAGCTGATAATCTTATGGGAACTCCTTTGTAGGTAACTCTGCTTTTCTCTTCCTGCTTTTAAGATTCTCTCTCTATCTTTAACCTTTGCCAGTTTAATTATGATGTGTTCCTCTTTGGGTCCAACTTGTTTGAGACTCTCTGTCTTTCCTGGACTTGTATATCTATTTCCTTTGCCAAAGTAGGGAAGTTTTCTTTCATAATTTTTTCAAATAAGTTTTCAATTTCTTGCTCTTCCTCTTCTCCTCTGGCAGCCCTTTGATTTGGATGTTGGCACTTTTAGAGATGTCCCAGAGTCTTTTTATACTATCCTCATTTTTTTTCTGAATTCTTGTTTTTTCTTTCTGTCCTGGTCAAATGTTTATTTATTACTTATGTTCCAAATCATTGATTTGAATCCTGGCTTCTTTCCCTTCACTGTTGCCTCCCTGTGGATTTTTCTTTATTTCACTTCGTATAACCTTCATTTTTCCTTTATGTTGTTGCCATGCTCCATGGGTTCTCTGAGCATCCTGATAACCAGTGATATCAATTCTACATCTAATAGGTTGGCTCTCTCCATTTCATGTAGTTCTTTTTCTTGGGTTTTGTTCTGTTCTTTCATTTGGCCATATTTCTTTGTCTCCTCAATCTGAGGAGGCCTCCCTGTGATTGTTTCCGTACAGTAGGTAGAGCTGCTTTTACTCCCTGTCTTAGTAGCATGGCCTGTGTAGAAAAGGCACCTGTAAATTGTGTGGGGTAGAGACTTAGATAATTGCCGGGGTGGGGCAACCCACTTAACCACTTTGTGGCGATGTGTGGGAGGAGGGTTCAGAGAGAAGACAATGCCGCTGCCTACTTCTGGAGGTTTTCCCAGTACTTTCCCCATTTCCAGTCACTTTACCCACTACCCGTATGTGACTGGTGCCCTTCCAGCTGCTGCCGTGGTGGTGAAACCCAGAGTGGGTGGGTATGCATACATTCTAAGTCCGTGCGGGCCCTTTCAGTGGCAAATTTCTTTGGCTGCCCCAACCCCTGCTGGTTTTTACAGCCACAGATAATGGGGATTTATCTTCCTGGTGCTGGAACCACAGGCTATGCGGTCTGTCCTGGGGCTGGGATTGCTTGCTCCCAACGTATCCCTCTTGATTTTTAACCACCACATGTGAATGTGGGGCAGTCCATTCCACTGCTGCCTCTCCATGCCACACTGCCTCTCCACCGGTCTCCATGACTCTGAGCCTCCTACCCATCTGGATGAATGTGGCTTCTTTAAATCCTTGATTGTTAGACTTCCATACAGCTAGGTTTTTCTGATGGTTCTGGGTATTATCTGTTTTAAGACCTGGTTGTATGTAATTCTTTCTATGGTTGCGCAAGGAGGCAAAGTGTGTCTACCTACGCCTCCATCTTGGCCGGAAGTCCCTGAGAAAATGATTCTCTACTCCCCAAAATTGACTGAAAGTTTTATTCAAATGATCGTAATATACTGCAAGTATCTATCCTTAAGAAGATAATTAAAGGATTTTATCATAGGCAATTTGTCTTTGTTTTGACTTACTCAGATTGACATGTCAGTGATTATGCCCATGTAAGAGGGAACTTGGCAATGAATCATGCTATACAGCATGATTTCACATTCTATTTACAATTCCTTATATATATAGTAAGTACCACCTTAATAATTTTTGTTTTAAAGTTTTTCTGGCTTGATAAGTTATGTGCTAGACTTTGCCTATTGGTGAAATGGTATAAAACATCATATGCAATTTAAGAAACTTTTATCTTTTTCCAATAAAGTACATTTTGACTTCCTTGGCATAATGTCAGTAACCAGTAGTTTTATGAACAGGCAATTTAGTCATTGTAATGGGGAAGAATCTTTTTAAGATAAGAGATCATTAACACTCTTTCCTAATAAAACATACATCTCTGCTTCCTTTTTCATTTACTGTTCTCTTGTTCTTTATCTTTAAAAAGTTGAGTTTGACATTTAATGTCACAAAGTTTTTTTAAAAGCTATTTTAAATTTACTTGTCTTCTAAAAGTCTAAGATTGTATATACCATATACTATAAAAAAATCTATACCAAAAATAATTGGGGGTCCTTATCGACATGCCCACAGGATATTTCTTTATTCTTCACTTGGTACCCATAATACAATTCTTTCAGACATCTGCTCTCATGGGGTTCCTTCAAGGTGGTAGAAATAAATTTTTATAAGCAAAATCATATGCAAAGATAAAAAGAATTTCTGCCCATTCCAAATGTACCATTAGGCCTTGCCATTTGCTTTATTGTATACTCATAAAGTAAAGAATAACCTCAACCAGAATAGATTTTCACTGATATTTGATATACTTATTATTGGCTCCATACGATGAATTATATTCAACTAAAGCAATATAGCCTTATATTTCTAGCCTACATGACCCCAATGTCTAGAGCAATTAATTCTAACCAGTTCACTTTTATTTATTTATTTATTTATTTATTTATTTATTTTCTGTGTGGGAATTTGGAGGCTGGTCAGTGTAAAATTATGTCCAATGAGACAACACTAGACCAGTACTATGATCCCAACTTACTCTTTGGCTGCATGATGTTTGTGTGGATAGCAAAATCTGAATGCAATAACCAGTTCACTTTTAAATGACCAATTACATTTTACGAAACATTTTAGAGAAATATAGACATGGGTAAATTTATTCTGTGGCTAGTGTGGTTTTATTTGAGTATGTTTATGGTCTTACTTGTATAATGAAAACATGGTTAAAATACATTAACCAGGTAATGTATACATAAGTTAAAGTATGCAAAGTATAGCTTCAGCCACATTTTAGAACACTGTTGCAACAATTTTGCAAATTTTCTTGCAGGGAGAAAGCTTACTATATGAAGATGACTTGTTTTCTATTTAATTTTATTTTTAAAGCCATGTTAATAAAAACCACAAAAACCCTAGATATCTGGTTCATCATTCTGTATTCTTTATTCACTTTTTCAAGTTACCTATTTTGTTGCATTAAGCTGATTGTTAACTATTCATGGACTAGTGCAAAAGAAAAGCACCTTTTTAATAAAGAACTCTGAGTGAGGCTGTAAATGTCAGTTATATTATTTTTAGTATTGTTGGTTATATTTAAATTTTCCTTATAATAAAGCACACTTTTATAATAAACTAAAAAAAAATGTGATACACACACACACACTCAGTGCAATACTATTTAGCCTTAAAAAGGAAGGAAATTCTGTCACATGATACAACATGGATGAACCTTGAAGACATTATGCTCAGTGAAACAAGCCATACACAGAAGGACAAATACCGTGTGATTCCATTTATATAAGGTACCAGAGTAGTCAGATACATAAAGACAGAAATTAGGATGATGGTTGCCAGGAGCTGGGGGGCAGGGAGAAATGGTGAGATGCTATTTAATAGGTACAGAATTTCAGTTTGAGATGGTAAAAAAGTTCTTTGGTTGTATAACAATGTGAATGTACTCAATGCCAATGAACTGTACAGCCTAAAATGATTAAAATGGTAAATTTTATGTCTATATATTTGCCAAGTCTTCTGAGTCTCCTGGGTTTGGGCCTCAGAGGTTTCTGAACAATGCAGATGTTGTCTGTCTAAGGACCAGGGGTGTAGCCGGCACAAGGAAGTGCAACACCGTCCGACCCCTCTCCTCATAGCATCTGGACCCAGTGTCTCACCAAAGCCAAAAGTTGTGCTTGCAGCCCCACGGTCTCAGTCCTCTTTGTTAGTACCATTTTGGACAACAAACGCAAGGCCTCCCCAACTCCACTGGGAACAACCTCTGTCCTTTAAAGGCCTCCTGGAGGGAGCCTCCCCTCACAGCACTTCCACCACAGCGCTCCCCGTAGTTCCTCCCCCACACTAAGGGGAATAGTCCATGCATAAGAATGTAGGTAGAAAGCGCATAAAAGTCAACCAAGAATGAGAAACAGTCTCATGAGAAAATGGCTGAGAGTAGTAATGAAGAGGCATTTAATAAAATAAGAAAAACAGATGGCCAATAAGTGTCAAAGTGATAAATTTCATTTGTAATCACATGAATGGAAGAAAACATGACAAGAATGCATTTTTCATATATTGGGTTGGAAAACATTTTGAAACACTAATAACCAGCGTTGGCATGAGTGTGAGGAAAATGACCTGCATTCTCAGACTGGAGGACAGTAAATACGTACATTTGCGGAGGAACTCAGCAATATACATCGAAAGCCTTCAAAAGATATACACCCTTTGTGTTAAACCACTTCCAGGAGTTTGCTCTTAAGAAACAAGTGGATAAATGCACAAGATTACTCACCGCAGTGTTGTCTATAGCAGAAAAACTATCCAAACTTCCTAAATAATGGCAAAATACATTCTATATAAGAGCACTATACAGCTGTTTTAAATGGTGCTGTGGACTATAGTTCTACCTTTACTTATTTGGAAGGGTGTTCAGCATATATAAATTGGAAAAGCAATTTAAAGAACAAGGACTTTTATTTACAAGGGAAAAACTTGGAATCAATGTTACAGTGGTTGTCTCTGGGTGGAAAATCCAAATTATTTTAATTATGTTTCTGGTTGTTGCTTATCTATATTATCTAAGTTTTCTACAATGATCATGCATCGCTAGAGTTCATTTTTTATCTCCCATTTTGGCACGTGAAGAGGAGTACACAAATCATAGTTACAAATATTAAAGGTGTCTACAGGCTGAGCCCTTGTGTAATGTGGGAGCATGGCAGGCAAACTGAAAAGGCGGTAATAAGAATGAGTGTCAAGGGACAAGCAATGCAGGGGAGCACAGTCCCTTTGGAGGAAGCAGAGTTTCCAATGTTTACCAAGCTCCCCGAGCCAAATGCCATCAAGGACACCGTGAATCTGCAAAGGGCACCAGCTGTGAGTAGAAAGGTAGTTTACCTTCTGCCCTCACCAGCTGCCATTTAAGGGGCACAGGCGTCAGGTGTCAGGCTCGGCATTTGCCGGTATTCTCTCATCTAAGCCCAAGCACAACCATGGCAGGGCGGTGGGGATTGTCCGTGTTTGAAAAGGGGGTGGCTAGTGGGTGCCCCGATTTCAATAGTCTTCCTGATCCCTCCTCCTGCATGCCCCTTCACTCCCTTCCTAGCTCCCACTAAGTGAGTCCTGTGCATGAGCACAGCTTCCTTGAGGGAGGGACAGGCACCGTCTCCCAGCAACAGGCCCAGGGTTAGGCAGTGTCCCTTCCAGCCCTTTCCTGTGAGCCATGTGAGCTGCAAAACAGGGACTTGGCCCTGTCAATCCTGTTTACTTTGCAGCATGACTGAGGGGTCTGGGTTTTGACAGAAGAGCCCCCACATGTTCCCACAGCAACCTGGACATGTCCCAGCAATATTGTGAAAGAGCCATAGTCCAGCTGGGGAACAAGGTCACAGTTACACATTACATACCGTGGGAGGGAGCCAGGCACAGGCCTCCCTCCTGTAGGGCACTTGGGACTTTGTAATCCATGTTTGGTGCTGGGCAGTTTCACAGAACGGCAAGCCTGGAGGGCTCCATGTCCAGCACCCCTTCCCACTACCCTGCCAGCTCCACCTCAGCCAGAAACAATGCCAGTGCTGGGAGCTAACAGAGGGTGATGTTTCTGTGCATTTCTTGAGTGGCAATTCAGAACATCCCTATGCCCATGGGCAGGGCTACACAGGTTGTACCACTGCCTGAGCTCCTGAGGACGCTGCTTGCGCAGACTGAGACGAGGGTCCTCCCGCAGTAACACTAGCGTGGTCTATCTGGGATCCAAACAACTCATATCCAGAACTCACTTTCTCAGTAACCTCACCTATTTCAAACACAAACAAGAACTAGATGGGAAGCAGAAAAACCTTCTGAAGTAGAAATTCGGATTTCTAAAGCCAGAGTTGTGAAATCACTCATTAGCAAGCGAATCAGGCCCTCAGTCAGAGCAATTTGCCTTCACTGGTACATCTGCCATTTGTTGTAATGAAGTACCACAACTGGATGGCTTATAAACAGCAGAAATGTATATCTCCCAGTTCTGGAGACTGGAGGTGCCAGTCTGGTCGGTTTCTGGTGAGCATCCTGTTTTGGTTGCAGTCTCCTAACTTCCCTCATCCTCTCATGGTGGGGGCAGGGAGCTCTTTGTGGTGCCTCTTATAAGGGCACTCATCTTATTCATGAGGTGTCCACCCTCATGCCCTAATTACTCCCCAAAGGCCCTGCCTCCTAATACCAACACATACGGGTTTAGAACTTCAACATGTCGTTTGGGGGGTCAAAAACATTCAGATCACAACATCCCCCAAGTCAGTTTGGTTATCTGGTTTCTAAGTCAACAAAAGGTGAGAAGAGCCTGGGGGTAGAGTGGTTGTCCCATCACACCCCTTTCACTTGGCCTGCGCACCTGTCCCCCTGTCCCCTAGCACCTGAGAATATTGGCTGGTATGGACTCTTAGGTCACCCCTTCTTGGGATAATTGTCTTTGGCAGGAGCAAGGGGTGATTTGGAAGCATCCCCTCTTCCGCACCCTAGACAGCTTACAGACAACGATGGACTGACATACAGGGTCAAAAGATCACTGCCTTGTCTCAAGGTGTAACAAACCTGGGTGCAACTCACACTCCAGAGCTGCCTGTGCACTCAGTCTCCAGGTGAGACCACACCCTTGCTTAGCTTCCCCCTGACCTGTCCTGCTTCCTTTACTGCCATCCTTCCAAAAGCACTCCCTCCAGAAATCCAGAGCGCAGATCCTTGCCTCAGTCTCCGCCTCTAGGAACCTGAATGAGAACTGAGAGCTCAGAAGAGAGCAGGTGCTGACCCATGGCAACAACCCACTGTTTTCAAGCCTGACACTTGGGTGTCATCTTTAACTCCTTCCTCTCCCTCACACCAGATAACACATCAGTGCTGCAATCCACAGTCCTGGCACCTAAGCTGGAATCTGTCTACTCCTCTCTGTGCCTGTGACACCGCCCAAGCACAGGCCACCGTCATTTCCCACAGGTCGTGCTGCTACCAGTTGAGCTTCTATCCAATATGTTCACCTGATGTCACCAGAGACAGCCAACCAGACCGTGACACTCCCCTGGTCAAACTGCTCAATGACTCCCACTCTATTTAGAATGCAGTTCTGCTTGACAAGACCAGACTTGACCAGGGCTGTGCTGACCACTACGTTCATCTCTCTACCATCTTTCACCCCATCACCCCCAGCAATCCCATAGCCTGACTCCCCTCAGGACATCAGAACTGCTCTGAGTATCTTGATTGTGTGTGAGAATCTCTGGTACCCTGGGCATGCTATCTATAATGCTCTTCCCCGCCTCTTTGCCTGGTCCACTCATTCCTGTCCATTCTTCAAGGTGGGGCTTGGATGTTGTTTCCCACCATTAACTGCCCAGATCTCTCTGTGTGCCCCTTTACTGTTTATGTTCCTTATCAAAACAATTGCTTGTGTTCTTGGCCTCGTGCCCATGAGGTCAGGGTGGGGAATGTTTTATGTAATGGGCCATAACTAGGTAGTATGTCTGTAATAAAGGAACGCAATGACAGTGGGTGGCCTGATTTTAAGAACTTGGAAAGCATAGCCACCTGAGGCCACTAGTATAGGACAAAAAGGTCTTCCCACTTACTCTAATGGCCGCTGAAGCATTCCTGCACCAGAGTCCAAAGTAGTCTATTCTG